GTTGTACTAGAAAGTCGCCAGTTCTCATCTTCCAGCTCCCCAGAGACTCCGCGTGCTCAAGTTGTACTAGAAAGTCACCAGTTCTCGTCTTCCAGCTCCCCAGATACTCCGCGTACTCAAGTTGTACTACCAAGTCTCCAGTTCTCATCTTCCAGCTCTCCAGATACTCCGCGTACTAAAGTTGTACTACCAAGTCGCCAGTTCTCATCTTCCAGCTCCCCAGATACTCCGCCTACTACAGTTGTACTACAAAGTCACCAGTTCTCATCTTCCAGCTCGCCAGATACTCCGCGTACTAAAGTTGTACTACAAAGGCACGATCTCCGCAGAGGGTTCCCCGCGTCCAGGGTCAATCGCGCTCTCGCCTACATTTCGCGCACTCGACACGCACGATCTCCGCAGAGGGTTGCGCGTACACCGGACAAATCGCACTCTCGCATGCATTTCGCGCGCTCGACACGCACGATCTCCGCAGAGGGTTGCGCGCGGACCGCGCCCCTCGCACTCTCGCCTGCATTTCGCACGCTCGACACGCGCGATCTCCGCAGAGGGTTGCGCGGACCGCACCAATCGCACTCTCGCCTGCATTTCGCGCACTCGACGCGCATGATCTCCGCAGAGGGTTGCGCGCGGACCGCACCAATCGCACTCTCGCCTGCATTTCGCGCGCACGACACGCGCGATCTCCGCAGAAGGTTGCGCGGTAATTTCACAAATCGCACTCTCGCCTGCATTTCGCGCACTCGACACGCACGATCTCCGCAGAGGGTTGCGCGGTAATTTCACAAATCGCGCTCTCGCCTGCATTTCGCGCACTCGACACGCGCGATTTTCAAGAGGGTTGCGCGGGTATGGGACAAATCGCACTCTCGCCTGCATTTCGCGCACTCGACACGCACGATCTCCGCAGAGGGTTGCATTTTCGGCTGACGCTGTTCGCCCCACCCTGCGCCTTTAAGAGAGAGTTTATAAGGTGGGGAAATGTTTTCATTAGGACATCTCCCGTGCAAGTTTTTAGGACATCTCCCGTGCAAGTTTTCCATACTCATACTTGCATACTCGTGCATACTTGCACTGGGATTGCACTGGGATACTTGCATACGTGCATACTTGCACTTGGATACACCCTTGGATGCTTTTTACCCTTACACTGGGATACGTATAGACGTGTATGTGTTCAAGTGTCAGTGTGGAAGCGTCAGTGTTCAAGTGTAAGTGTAGAGATGTCAGTGTTCAAGTGCAAGTGTGGAAGTGTCAGTGTGTAAGTGTTAGTCCCGAAGTGTCAGTGTTCAAGGGATTTTCCGGAAGAACCCTTCGCAATGCTTTCGGGAAAAATAGTGTCTAAGAACAGGGACAAAAGCCAGCCGTCCTTAAAACGTTCCAAAGCTCTGTTTTATCCAGGGTCTTGTCACTAAAGCCTCTTTTTGGAAGTGCCCTGTTTTGCCCCAAGACAGCCTTCAATCAAAGCGCAAGAGGGTAACAACGAAAACTTCTCCCTAAGGTCTTTTCTGTGGTGTTGGCACACCCTTTATCAAAGGTGCCTCTTTTTGCGCCGAGGCGGCCTTCAAACACAACACAGACGCACCAACCGAGAAATACAGTTGCATGCCTTTTTATCGACTCTCGCCACCTGGCATTTCTAAATAACAACGTCTTTGCATACCTGCATCGACAATTCGTTCCCACTTTTCGGAAATATTTCCTTTTCCCCCGAAGCGGCCCCTCCTTGAAGCCTGTTCCAGGAAACTTGGCGCTAGCAACACCCTTCTCAGAGGTGCCCTTGTCTGCCTCGAGACGACTAAAAGGGCACTAGCCCAGAAAAGCGGTTTTCTGCATCGCAAAACCATTGTTGCCGTGCACCGCTTTGTCAGTGGCTTTCGTATCCTATTTTTGCCCCGGCGCGTAACCTTGGCGCTAGCTAGCACTCACTTACTCAAACACAGCCCTCAAGTGCGGCAGAAGGGTTTTTCCATTCTCTGCATCTAGATCTCTGTAAGTGATGCGATCTTTCCGTTGACGCATGGTTTGACTTCACGCATTGCTTGACGATCATAAAATGCTTTATACTGGAACCAACAAATTTGCCAACGCGCTCCAAAAGACGCCATCATGCCCAGTTGATTACGCAGAAAATGCTAGTATCTAGCGCTAAACTTGGCCCACCCAGGTTTCCGCTCTCTTTCAGCAGGCCCCGCCACACCCCCTAAAACTCACTTCGTTCGCCCAATAGAAATTCAGCCTAGCCTTATGACATAAAGCTGCCTGCTATGTCTGAAAAACCTTAAACTATTTATTGTAGGAAAATAATAGTAATAAAATAGAAAAAATAGGAACTGAAAATAGGGAGAAAAAAAAGGACACAAAGAGGATGAGTCTCAAAAATAGGAAAAGAAAAGAGCTGGGTTTAGAAATAGGAAAGGAAAAAAGGAAAAGAATGGCAGCGCTCTAGGACAGGAACATGAAATGGATACGAAGAGCAAATGACTGGAAGCAACATACTGGAAGCAAATTTCCGTTCATTTTCCTATAAAAATTGATTACTTCATTTCATTTTCCTTTAAAACATACTTTTATTTTCCTTTAAAGAATTATTAACTCCGTTCATTCTCAATCAAAAAAACAAATTCCTTTAATTTCCCCTTAAAAAATAGAAAGTCCTTTCATTTTCCTTTAAAAAATGATAAATTCCTTTCATTTTCCTTTTAAATTCCTTTCATTTCCCTTAAAAAGATCCTCTCACTTTCCTTTCAAAAATTGATTATTTCCTTTAATTCTCTTTTACAAATTAATAAATTCCTTTAAATCTATATTTTGTCTATTTATTTATTGTGTTTATTCCATTTTTTTTACTATTTTTTGGGGGGTGTCTATTTTTCTTATTTTTCCTATTTTTTTTGGGGGGTGGTCGAAAATCGTCCTATGCTTTTCCTATTTTCAATTCCAATTTTTCTATTTTTTAGGAAAAATATGAAAAATAGAAAAAATATGAAAATAGTAAAAACATAGCCCCCCCAAAAAAATAAAATGAAAAAATAGTAAAAATAGGAATTGAAAATAGTAAAAACATAGGACGAATTTCGACCACCCCAAAATAATAAAAAATAGGAATACAAAATAACAAAAAACACCCCAAATTACCAAAAAAATAGGAATAAAAACAAATAAAATAGACAATGAAGTGAATTTATTGTTTTAAAGGAAAATTACATAAATTTAGCATTTTTAATTGAACATGAAAGGAATTAATCATTCTTAAAAGAAAATGAAAGGAATTTATATGTTTAAAGGGAAATCACAAGAATGACGCTTAAAAGGAAAATTGAAAGAAGTTTTAATTGTTTAAAGGAAAATGAAAGGAAGTAATCAATTTTTAAAGGAAAATGAAAGGACATAATTAGATCTAATCTAATCTAATCATTCCAATCGAATGCCGGCCTAACTGTGCATTGCCGCACTGCTATTAAATATCCAGTTTCATTCACTTGTGTCTGACCATGCGTCTCATCGGAATGAGCCACCTGCCTTCCGGTAAATCTGAAATATTCGATCCTATGTGTTTCCTATTTCATGTTTGTTCTTGTTTTCTGCCCTATTTTATTCCTATTTTGGGGTCCTATTTTATTCCTATTTATTTCCTAAAAATAAATATTTTTGAAAACTCCAGAGATAGTAACAGCTTTTTTTCATAAGCCTAGCCTATCGGCTGGCTTTCGTGAACATAAACAAAACAAAAAAGATTCAATGGTAGAATGAAAGCATGCAAAGCTCCACGTTCAGCCTTTGGCGCTTCACTGGAACGACTCAGGCCACTCTTGGCAAGACGTCCTTCATGCAACTGAGTCCTAAGCAAACGTGATGGGAAATGTGTTCAGTTTTGCTGTCAGTCTTGCTTTCTGTATCTGCCCCTTTTTCCACCTGTTCTTTTCTATTTACCTGCATTAGTTGCGTTCTTTAACTCAAATTGATGGATCAAACTCTCGTGCAAGTACTCACTTCATCTGATTTCTAGTAGTGTTACTTTCTTCTACCCCTTCGTCCAACCTCACAATATCCGTTCAGCGTCTCTCCCTGCAGAATCAGCTTTCGCTTGCGTGGCTCAGGAGGCAAGCAATCCCACAGCGGAACCACGGCACTTCCCAGGTGCTCCCCTGTCTCCTTTCAATACACTTTGCATTGAGTGACTTCAGCACGCTTTCCAATCAGCAGCATACCTGTCCTCCGCGCGACCCTTTGGGCCATCAGCATCCCAAATGTCAAAAGCCTGGTGGACGCTCTCACTTTTGCCACTTGGGAGTTTCAGGTACATCTCAAAGCCTATGTTTTGAACAATGAGTATTTTGGCCAATATCTGCAGCCAAACGTGTCTTTTTGCACCATTGACTGCGCATGAATATACTGTATCTAGGCTGTAGTTCAATCATTTCTGATCAGCTTTCTTCACACCTACAGTAGTCTTCTGCTAAACGAGCATTTGGTGCTGAACACATCACTTGCGGCCAAGTCACAATGAGCAGCGGCTGCTCGTCATGCTCAAACTTGGCATGGAATCCCTGATAGACTGAGGAATAGTTGAGAGTCTGAGTTTGGAAATTTGCTTTTTGATGAAGTCGGACAGTGACAAAACCAAAAGAGCGCCTCATTCCATATGGGATCGAGGCAGTCCTTGATGGTCTTGGTGCGGTGAATCTCACGAACCTTGAAATACTGCTTGTCTAATCGTCTTAGAATCAGCTGAGCAAGTGGTGCTTGGACCAAATGCCGGTCGATCACATTGAATCAGAATCACTTCTTACAATCTGCTTGTAGCAACCCCTGCGGCCCCTGCCTCACCACTCATGAGAATGACCCTCACAATACACTGAGGGTCACTGGCACCAACCAGGTCAGCATTTCGGAGAGCCTGTGCCACCCGAGATGGAAGCGAAACGAAGCGAAACAAGAGCTAAAAGCACAGAGCGGAGTTTGAAGTGCCAAAGGAGGAGTTCGTCAAAGTGATTCCTCCAACCTTGTAGCGATGGCCTCCAATCTAATAGCGATGGCCTCTAACCTTAGCGGTGGCCTCCAACCTAATAGCGATGGCCTCCAGCCTAATAGCGATGGCTTGCAAACTTGCTCTTGAGAGTACTCGACTTCACCCACCTGAGCCTTTGCAACTTTCCCAACAACCTGAAACGCTAGCGGATGCAGTTGAAAGCTCTCAAAGAATGGGCTACAAGTAGCAAGTTGATGGTTGAGATCATGCTCTAGAACATGATTCGATAGCCGAGCCTCGCGAATGTAGCCCATCTGCCGCACGCTTTCCATCAGCTGGTCCAACAAAGGTTGAGGCTTGGGAATCACCTCCTGGATTCATCAAGCGGTTTTTAACAAACACAGTAAACAGGGGTTCGTGGGACCTGTATTACACGCCATGATGTTCTTTGAACAGTTTTCTTTGATTCAAACGATTCTGGCTTAAGGTTGTTAGAGCAATGCGACAAACTGTAGTCAAGCGCCGTGTCAACAAATATGGACAATGACAATGCCCTTTTTCCATGAAAGCATGCATGGGCCAGGGATCTACTTTCGATCCATCACTTCCGCCTTATACACTGTGACCACGATTTGGATGCGCGGCTTCTTTCCTTTCGCCTCCCAAACAAAAGGCTCGGCAAAGCTACTAGGTTGTGGACCACATGGGGATTCATTCAAGGACTGTAGGTTGTGGCTGGAAAAAACATGTTGGGGTTGCTTCCTCAAAACTCATAGGGCCCAGCTGGCGACGTATAGGGCCATCCCACCTTTGAGGTCCCTTCGCAAAAGCAAAACCCTTGGAGAAAAAATGTACCAGTTTGGACCCTTCTTGCGCAAAACCTCCAAGCGTTGGGCGGTTCTCACCACCCTCTGATATATCTGTTTGTGACGACACGTTTTGATGATTTGTCCACCAGGTCAGAATCCTCAGAAAGAAGTTTGGCAAAGATTTCAACCAGAGTTTGCAGCTTGAAGTTTGGCACCATTGGGACTTGGCTCAAGTCAACGCAAAGAGGGGCACGCTGTATTGGATTGTTGCCACGCTTTGATCTTGTGCATTTGTGAGAAGTGAAAAGTCGACAGCACAAATCGAGAAGTGTCTTAGAACACCATTGGAATAAGTGAGTTTGAATCAGAAGAATCGAGAAGTGCACCAATTGCTCGGATGCCTTTGCATCAGCCAAGTTTTATCCCATAGCCGCCTTGAGGCAGCACCTCGACATGACATCCTCCACTCCGTCTCATGTTTTTAGAGTGGCTGAAACACCGTCACCAGAACCTGTAAACCAACAACAGGTTATGAGCCCGAAGGGCGTCCCTTCCTGGAATTTGCCAGCTGCGCCATATTTTCCAGCGCGCGTGAGAAGCGTCCAAATGTCAAAGCTGGTCTTGCCTCCCGAGTGGCTGCAGCAAATGGCTGCCTTGGCAAGCCGAGGTCATGACACTATGAGATTTGACGAAGAAGCAGACACACTAAGAGCTTGCAGGAAGAACAGAGAAGCTTGCCCGCGCATTACAAGGGTCACATGCACGCAAAGCCTCAACGATCGAGTCATGATACTTGAGCAGCGCCTCACCGAATCCAACCAGAGAGAGCACGCTTTAGTAAAACGGCTTCGGAGCCTCGAAAGGTCGCAGGATGACCGCTTCAAGGGCTTAGAAGGCCCATGGCGTCAATGCAGCAGGCCGCGATGGCAACGCAGGTCTCGTTGCATGAGCATCATGGCGCCATTAGCGATTGGTGGGGAGTGGTGGGGATGTGACCAGCCGGAGCTTCCTGCTGTTCAACCTCCTGGACTGCCAGTTGAGACTCACTTGATGATGGAGAAGACTATAAGAAGGAATGCGTTTGCAAGACTCTCAAAGATGTCCCAAAACTTGACATCAACCCTGGAGAGTCCTGGGAAAGAGCCCTTCAATTTACTGTATGGAGGACAGAGCTACGTGCCATAGCTCACGCCATGGGACCGTGATGGGCCATGTTCTTGCAGGCAGAGCGTGTGTATGAGGAAAGACAATTAGGCAGGCTTGAGTATCTTCGTGGCGATCTTCAAGCTGCGTCAAAGTGCGCATCTTATGTCTTCTGTGACTTTGAGAGTCGATGCTGCGTTCTCTTCACGCGCGGTTTTCCAAAACAAGTAAAAGGCCCATCCTAAAGTACTCCACTAGAGCCAGGGTGACCAGGCAGAAGTTATCGGCGTCGGTCCTCGAGCTCAATCCAGGCTCGCCACCAACATGCCAAACATGCCAGGGCATTGACGAAGCGCTCAAGGTACCGTGCCGTTCGACGCTCTCATTGCCTCCACCAGCCCCTCACGAGAAGCTTGCAGCTATGGATTCCATTCTTTGCAAGTTTGAGAAGAAGCCAGAACCCTTGAGGCTCAAGTTGCAGGCTCTCAGGACGATGCCCGAGATTCGACGGCCCCAGGACCACGTTTGCACAAGTTGAAGAAGAAACTAGAATTCTCCTGCAAGATGAAAGAACAAAGATGAACAGACAAGGCAACATCGAGTCGGTCTTCCGAGCAGAAGTGCCCAAGGCCAACCCAAGTACAAGGAGCTTTTGTCAGCAAAGTACATGGGCATTGCAAAAAGGGAGACGCTTGCCGCAAATTCTACCTTCTTGGCAGCTGCAGGCATGGAAACGCATGCAACTTTCCTCACGTTGTGGCAAAAAACATAACACCCCACTGCCACGGCAAGGGGTGCACCGAAGGCAAAGAGCAGCATCCCAGCTAAGGGCGCAGAGCCGAAACCAAAACCAGAAGCGACGCCAGTTGCAGAAGCATGTCAGTCCACCAATGACGCTGCGCCAGCCCCAGCGCGCCCACTCGCAATGACAGCTGCTTGCCACAGCAGTGCAACGGGTGGGCTCGGACGAAACGCCACTTGCGCTCATGGGGTCATCCGTCGGCTTAGGATGAAAACAGCTCAAGCAGCGCTGGCTAGCGGAGAGACCACGTCAGCCCCTGCGCCCATGAAGGAGAACTAGTTCTGCCTGGGCAGGGAGATATGTCTGCAGAGAAGCGACTGACAGTAGGTCTTGGACGCTCTTTTAAATGGAGTGGTAAAGATGGCCTACCAACCCTGAAAGTCCCCGAAGAAGATGGAAATCACAGGGGAAATACAACCTTTGAGAAAGAAGTTAGAACATGTTCTGGGGATGAAGCCATCTCTGAGCCGAGGAGCTGATTTCGACAACATGAATGAAGAGGAGGTCCTGGATGTCACTCGTTAAAGAGGCCCGAAATCACTGGAACTTGACGTCGCTCCAAGACTTACCAACCTCGGTCCGTGATGGATTCCTTGTCCTTGCCAAGCGCAGTGTCCGCAGCTTCGGCTGCGTAAGCTGCTGAGTTGAATTCATGGCTGGCCCAAGTTCGGCTGGTTGCCTGCGGCAACTTTGAAGAGGCCACTAGACCTCACACGCTTGAGAACTTGTGCGACAATCCCTCGCAAGAAGCTTTTAGACTCGTGGATTGCTCGCCGCGCAGACTGGACTGCCATGGCCCTTGATATCTCACGCGCATTCCTCAAACGTGTTGCTTCGACCGCCGCCGGCCTTGGTCCGTTTGGGCCTTGTTGCCCCAGATCTTTTGTGGACGGCTTTGAAAGCGATCTATGGATTACTGTTGGCGCAGTGTCTTGCTTGAGCGCCGTGCACCCGGGTGTCGCTGTGAAGTTGCGCCAAGGAGTCTGGAGATACTTGAGTTCCACTAGGTTTCATGGAGTGCACTTTCGACCATTCCAGCCAGTCACGTCTGACTGACGAGCTTTGGTGTTATAGTGACGCCAGTCTGGCGCCGGGAGGAAGCCGTCGCAGTGGAGTTGTGGTCAAGTGGGGCGACCACCTCATTGCATGCATGGAGGTCGATGCTTGAAATTTGGGACCGTTGGGGCTTGGCTCAAGTCTGCGCAAAAAGGGGCTCGCTGTATCGGATTGTTGCCATGCTTTGATCTTGTGCGTTTGTGAGAAGTGAAAAATTCGACAGCACAAATCGAGAAGTGTCTCAGAGAACCATTGGAAGAAGTGAGCTTGTAAAGAAGAATCGAGAAGTGTACCAAGTGCTTGAATGGCTTTGCGTCAGCCAAGTGATTATCCCATACAAGTAGCTGCCTTCATGAGGCAGCATCTTGACATGACATCCCCACTCCATCTCTTTTCTCCACTTTCTCATGTGGGCATCTTCCATGTCCCAAACCTTTCAAGCCTGGGCCCTAGCCCCTTTGCCTTGTTCACTGGGATACCCGCCAACTCAAGCTCATGGGTCATGGCGCCTCAGCAACGGTTGGAGTCACTCCTGGACGCATGCCATCCATCACTCCTGTTTTGCATTCATTTGGCAAAGTTCAGTGCAAGGCAGGTGTGCAGTGTGTGTTTTGGAAAGCTCTAGGTCCGCGACGTCCTGTGACCGCGTTGGATAGGTCAATATCACCTTTGAGTGCTGATGGCGTTGAGACACAGAACCTCCGATTAAACTCCAAAACATGCAATTCTTGGGAAACATGTTTACCACATGGATTTGTAAAAAGACATGATCATAAATGTCAAGCTTTACACTGATTCGCTGGGTGCTCGAGGCAGAAACTTCACATGACTTGGCCAAGGTGCAGCCGCCAAGAAAGTCCTCATTACCTGTGATCCAAACTCCAAACACTATCAGGCTTGTGCAGGAACACTCAACAAACAGAATCATTGAGATGCCGCCAGTGAAAGGCACCTTGCCAATGGGTATGTGGTTCATCTGCGTCGAAGACCATGGCCTGGACGAGAGCATACCAAAGGGTTGAGGTTTCTCTTGCGCAAACGCGTGTACAAACAGCATTTCATTAGAAAGACCAGCTAAGGCACACTGTGTCTTGCGGGCAAAGACTGTGTCTAAAGTTCCAAGGTCACATCAGTTCCTATGCCCACTCAAGTGCATCGCTTCTAGTAACAAGTGCTATTACTAGTAGTAACAAGAATAAATTAATTAGAATTGTTAAAGCTCCAAGTTCCCAATTCCACTTGACTCAGCCTTCAGACCAACCAATTCCACCAAGCCCCACTCTGCTGGCACCATGTAGTCGAAGGACTCCTGTTTTGGTTGTCAAACTGCGCCCACAAAAAAAGAGATAGTGATATTCAGGCTGTCGCAGCAAAAAGCTGAGTGCGGAAATCTGTGCCCGTCAAAACAGGCACATGTTTCTGTCCTTTTGTCATCACTTGCTACTTCGTAACATGACTAAACCAAAGCCAAGTGTACTTCCTTGCATTGTGGATCGACCGCATCTGATTTGCATGCATTTGCAATGCCCTCATGCTGCCAGGTCCTCCCAGTAGGGGGACAGTGTATTCCTCAGGAAGCTGCAGGACAAGAATGTAAGATCGCTGATACTGATACTCTTCAAAGCTATTCGATAAGTTCCTCTTCATTGTATTGATTCATCCAAGTGGCTGAGCAACCTTAGTAATATGAATGTTGGACATGTGGTTGTTCGACCGGATGCCCTGGCACGCCAGAAAACACTTCAGCTCGTCTCCATTGACCAATTGGTTCACTCAACTCACTAATGCATTCAATAGACTCCGCCTTGACCACACAGTACGGGTCTGATTTGCCTCTAGCATCGGTGTTCCTTAGCAACATGCCAAAATGTTTCGTTGAACCATTTTGAAGGCCGTGGAAATGAGTCCATTCCAAATTTCCAACTATCCCTGCAAAGTCTGCCAGAGTTGTTGCAAGCTCGAGATGACTTCAAGGCCTCTTTTCACCCGCTGCCACTCAAGAAAACCCGATCTCAATCTCATCTGAGATACGGTAGACCCCGAGCTGCCACAACTCGTCCGATCACCCTGCCCAAGTAGATCACTGCTGGCAATGGTTCACAAACGCATAGGTGTTTTTGGGCAGCCACTGCTAAGAATAAATGACATCGACACGCAACCTGTATATTCGGCTAAAATGACCAGGTGGAAGTGCCCATCTCTTGCTTCGAAACCTGGCATGCTTTGTAAGTAGCTTGCCATAGCTTGCACGCTACAAGCAAGATGTTTTTTGTTAAGACTTCTGGGAAGCAGCAAAAGTGCAGAGGAAAGGCCCATTTGTCGAATAGACCTGGCTACGGTGACATAAAAAGCTAAATGGGCAGCGTGACCCATCATCCTCGGCCGAGTCATCAATTATCTTGCAAGAGCTTTGGGTCATCACTCATCATTAATTTGTAGTCCAGTTGTATTTCTGCGTGACATCCAAGAACAAGGCTTCACGTCCGTACGGGCCCCCCGTCTTCGTGTGGGCAGGCCCATACGAAATGGCATTTCGAGCACTTCAAAAGTCGAAAAAAAGTTGTAGCGGCCTTTTTTCAGCCGTGGTCGGCACGCTCTCAGGTGTTTCGCGTGTGGTGGCGATACACCCACTGATACACTCTATTCCACAGCCGTGGGTTCACCAATCCTTTGGACCGGTTCTTGCTTTGTGGCGGGATGAATTTCATCCACAACCACAGCCGATCTAGCTGATGGGTGCCAAAGATCATCTGCTTCGAGTTGACCATTGGCCCTCTTAGTCCATTGACTCTTCACATGCTTGACGTGCTTCACAGTCAAGCGCTTCGAAAGCAGCGGCCGACCATGCAAGTGCACCATCAGCACACAACAAAGAACCTGCTCGAACATTCCGAAGCAAGCCTGAGGTCACTATCTCAGCACATAAAAAGTCTTTTACTTTTACACCGAGAATCGGGTCCTCCCGCGAACCAGCGGCCGGAGATGGTGTCTGCGGCGCGCTCTTGTCTGACATCCGGCTGCCAAACGCCCGACGAACACGTGACTCGATGAAACCTTGAACCGACGAAAACACGAAACGACCCAAACACGAACCGACGTCATTTGCCCCCCCCCCACCCCCCCAACCCCCCCTGAATGACTGTTGGAACCCTGTCTGCTTCAAAAACGTGCAAATTCACGGGGGCCCGTACGGACGTGACACCAAGAACAAGAACTAGAGATTTCCAATTCTATTTCTACACGAACAAGAACTTGAAAGCAATTTTTGTCCGAGCTGAGGCGCCATGGAGAGGCTCGCCTGCGTGTAACAAATGTGACATTGTGAGGCTCGCTTCAAGCTGCAAAATAAGACATCGTGTTGATTGCGTCTTTGCGACAAAAGAACCATCAAAAATTGCTGTGAGAAAGCTTGACTTGACTGAAGGCCAGGAGTTTGCTTGCTGGGAGTGGCTTTCTCAGCGGCCTTTACGACGCAAAGAACTCGCCATGGTATGATTTAGGAGACATTGCAGCTGGCATTGCTAGAATTACTGAGTTCAAGACTCTAGAGAAAGTGAAACAAATGTCGGGCCAGCGGCCCTTCGGCCTCCCTGCATCTTCTTACCATGCGTTCTGATCTGGTCCAACAAACTGTGCGAATCGACCAGATATGGGGTACTACCGTAGGTTCTACTGTAGCAGGTACTACCTATGGTAGTAGTTGGCTTGCCCCACTATTCACCCCTCTATGGGCCCAAAGCTGCCGTGTGGAAGAGGCAAAACCAAAAAGCATTTTGCTGGGGACTCGCGTCTAGCTACTAGTTACTAGTAGCGATGCCCTTGTTACGCTTCCAGCTACTAGTGCTCTGGGGACCACAAAGATTGTTTGGGTCTCGTTGTTCACTCTCAATCCTTTCACAGCGTTTTCAGCTAGTGATCCACCCGTTTATATGCTTGTGGATATAAGAGCCACACCAAAAAAGCTCTTTTTTGCACCCTTTGCACCAGTGCAAGACACACGCCCGTGCAGATCCCTGCAGCTCGGCATGGTCAGAAGAAAGGAACCCATGACTCAACGGTCTGTGGATCTCTATGTAGATCCACCAGCAAAGCCAATGGTTTAGTGGCTCTGCCGCTGACTATGCCACTTGTTTGCCAGTTCGTCACAAGCGGCGAAACAAGAGCAACCAAGAGAAGCGGTAAGTGGTCATCTTTACCCTTTCAAGGCCCCTTTCCAGGCACCAGGGATGCGCGCCTTCCTGGCCTAATGAAGTCCCTAGTTCCCAGAGAGGACTGAAAGGTTCGAAAGTCCAAAAAGACACATATGAAGTTCATTGGATGGAAAAGGTTCATATGAAGTTCATGTCGTTCAAGTCTTGGAGTTAGCGAAACAAACAGGGCTTCCTCCTGGGTTTACAAGCAGTGAGCAGGGATTTGCCCAACAACTGGGACGGAGCTCGGAGTTCCTCCCATGGGCTTGCACCTGGCAACTGGAATCCAGGTGACTCTGACTCTGCACGTTCTGACTCTGCACCTTCCACTCAAGACATGAAATCACAGGATGACACATAACAGGCAAGCTCACCGCGGGAAGGTTTGCGGCGCTTGCATGTCGAGCAATCGTCCGATGACCTACCAAAACCCAGCCCCCCAAGAGTCTGATAAGTTCATGAAAAAATTGGCCAAGAGACTCTACTAAAGATGGGCGTCACGATTGACACCCTTTGAGGTCTTGTCCAAAAACTCGTTTTGTTGTCTGTTATTCAATTAATTTTGTTCTCCCAGCCTCCATTGGGTTTCTGATGGGGAACTCACAAGCTGTCCTCTCAAGCAAACAGTCCTGCTGACTTCCTCACCTTCTGCTGATCACCGCTGAAGCTTGCATCATCAGACCTCAAAAGAATACGACCCACGGCAGTCCTACAAATGGCAGTCCTACAAACGAACACATGGGAGACGCGCTGACAAACTATATATATATATAACACGCAAAAGTTGTTATTCAGCTTCCATGCTCCTGGCCGAGCATGCAGCGTTTGGAGAAGTGCCACAAGACGATCCTGCACAGCGGTTTAAATCCAAATATCATTACAGAATGGCAAGAACTAGCTCGCATAATATTGGAGCAACCAGTATCTGATGACTCATGCCATTGACATGTGTCAAAGCTGCAAGTCCTTATTCTTCACAAGGATCTGCTGAATTCGTAGTGGCTTGTGCGGATTCACCACAAATATCTTGAACCTGAGTGCTCACAGTGCTCACCCAATGACCCTTACCAGTAGCCACTGAAGGCCACTAGGCACTGCTCTTAGGCCCTGCGAGCCGGACACATGAAATGCCTCAGCTTGAATGGCATGGGAGTCTGCCAGCAACAGGTTCATGATGATCCTTGGTTCAAGAATGTTCAACCGTAAGCAAAACCTGCGTCAGGTCTTTGGAATAAAAATGTTTGAGCAGCAGCAGCAGCAGCAGCAGCAGGTGTTTTGCAAAAATTATGTTCAGGTGTGGGACAAAAACTCACGGATTGGATTTGTAAGGCCACAACTTCAGATGCTGTTCATTGCTGACATAGCTCATCATCACCCTGTCACATTGACACAGGCTCGTCAAAGCTTCAAAACAAAGCAACAAACTGCCGAGCCGCGATCAATTCATGCTGTGTCGTGTTCCGGTGTCGCGTGAGATCCGCCAGACCTCTGGAAGTTTCGATCCATCAGCATTCCTGCAAGTAGGGTCAACGCCTTGCGGCCAGGGCCCTCTGCAACTAGCGCTGATGATTGGCAGCAAAATAGCGATACAAAGAGGCTTTCTGACAGAACAAAGAACAAAGGGTAAGTTGATCCATTCAGCCAACGAATGCCAAATCAACTTGACACGAGCCAGGCAAACCAAAGGTTTGTAGTTAGGAGAGGCTAAGCAAAAAGGATTCAATGGCCAAACCAGGTGAGAAGTCTGTCTCAAAGGTGGTACTTGCCACCGTGATGCTGGTGGCGGTAGTGGTGGTGGTAGTAGTACCGGCAGCAGTAGCAGTAGCAGTTGCAGCAGGAGGAGGAGCAGCAGCAGCAGCGGTTGCGGTAGCGGTAGCAGTAGCAGTAGTATACTAGTACTGGTACTGATAGTAGATGTAGTAGATGTAGTAGTTGTAGTAGTAGGTGTAGTTCTAGTTGTGGTAGTTGTAGTAGTAGTTGTTGTAGTAGTAGTAGTAGTAGTAGCAGTAGTAATCGTAGTCTTAGTCGCAGTGGTGGTGCTGTAGTAGTGGTAGTGGTACTAGAGTACGGCATCCCCAGATGATCAACCCATCCAATTCGGCAGAAGAGGCAAGCCCCACATAACTGCAAAAGTGAGCGACAGGCTCAAAACGTTTGTAAAAATCAAGCGCAATAAGTCCACATCTTTTGTATTTCAATTGCCCGGCTCAGCCTGTCGCTCCACGACGTAATCCTGCCAGTAGAGTGTGTGTGTGTGCGTCATTTGCGTGCGTGTGTGTCCACCGGTGTTCATTGCAAACCAGCTGCTACTGTCCAATCCAACAATGCAACACAGCAGCATAACAAAACCTTGTAACTTGGAAACAATCCAGCTTCCACCTCAGGAATAATCGCCGTTCTGATACATCATTTTCGATTATAAATATACGTTCCCATGCTGGCCTGACACTGCAGAAGTGGATTGTACAAAGCAAAGAACCTCAAAGAGCATCGGCATACACAGGCATCTGCAAATGTACATACAGTACATCTGGAGACTGATCAAGCACAATTGCCCTTCTAAATGGAGCACTGCTTTGGGACGAATTGCAGTGGCATTTGCAAAAGCTTCCGTTGGTTGATGCACACATCATACACATATTTATACACTGGGAGCGCTCTCGAGCAGAGAAACCTACAGTAGATCTGAGTATACCACTCCCGTTGAGTCAGGAGATGCAAAATGAAGAACGTCGCAAGGTAAGTCCCCCCAAAAGAGGCTAGTCGTAAGAGTACAATAAGTGATTGAGACTTGAAAATGGATCCTCGTCTCTTTTGGAAGCAGGGCCGGAGTTTTGCCATTCCATGCCGCTCCGAACGCGTGCGCTCATTCAAGCAAAGTGGCTCATCGTAGTTGGCAAGAAGCCAAGGCCCAGACACCTGTTGGCAATTTGGAGGGCAAAGACCTAAAGACCTGCGATTAGAAAGTGGCTACAAAGCACATCACATCAACACATAGAGATAATTGATAGTGAAACAAGGACAAAGATGTGCACAGTACGAGAAAATGTGACCAATTGCCTCCTTGTGCTCGAGCATTGCTGTTCGCAGAGTGTAGATCCTGAGCACAGGTCCACATTGATCCTGTCTGATTCAAAACGTGTCTTGCTCTCCGAGTCATTAACATGGACGTGGAAAACCACCTGTTTGTAGAGAAACATGGTCTTCCAGGCCAGGGCCTATTTTGCACTTCTATGAGTACTTCAAAGAGTGCTGCCTGCTGCATCTCATCTAATTCAGTCCAGCAGATTCACACAAATGTTCACTGAGAATCTGCTCACCGCGAAAACCGCGCTGAGGTTGTCGCGCGTCGGCTGCGACATCAATGCAGGGATGTCGAGCATAGCCTGTGGGTGATAGAAATAAAGCTCCCATGCAAACATATGCAAACGCGAAAGCAATGTGTCATGGAGTCAAATAAAGCTCCCATGTTCAACAACGTCACACCAGACATGCTTGCATCTCTCAAACCTGCTAAGGACTCAGCTGATGAGCTCGAAAGCCTTGCCACTCGTCAAAAATGTCTCAACCTCACTTTACAAAGGGAAGGAAGATTGAAAGCTATGTATGAAACGGTTCCATGAGACCAATGTTTAAACAAACGAAACGATCAAAATCAGGCTGAGCCAACGACAAGTTGCCCATAGCGAAAGAATGATCGCAACACCACGCCGGAGAAGAGTGCGGCCTACACACGCTGCACTGTTCATTGTTGTGCTTCTTCAAGGAATTAAGCTTTTCCATCCAACTTCTAATCCGAAAGTGACCTATGTGAACCATCTTGCATATCTTACGTTCTCACATTCCAAATGGCCTCCAAAAACCTCAAAACACATTGCCTCCTCATTTGCGTAGCAGTCCATCAACTTGCTGAAGAGTGTTGGGTGAAACCGAACGTACTCCATGACCTCAATAAATCGAGAGGAAAGTCCGTCAACACAAGTCGCCTTCTCAACACAAGTCTTGCTGAAGTTTGCAAGTGTTTTTGTTAGGGACATTGTCAAGAAACTCCTACCCAGCCCAATGGTTGCAAGCAAAAGCAATGTCCAAATGGAAATCCTGGTAATCCATTATATATGTATATAATTTCATTCGGTGTTCAGGATGGGCCTGCAGGATACCTTTTGTGGCAACAGAAAGCTTCTGCCTGCCTGGGCAGCCACCTCTTCGGGCAGGTCCGGCCACAGGAGGGCGCAGCAAACATTCATCACATCCTGGCCAAGCCCCAAAGTACTCAGCTGCAAATCGAGTGGATCAAGTGCTGAAAACAAATCAACACAAAAAAATGAAAGGATATGTTATAAGGAGGAGAGGGAAAAAAACACCAAAAAAGAAAGGAGCGGAAAAAGGGAAGAGGGCCTGGTGACGGACTTGTTGACACTCCATTGCCGCACCTTCCGGACTTCGAAGCCCAGGCTTGTCAGTTGAGAAAGCAGCTGCACCTTTTTGCAAAGATCATCCAGTCCCATCAAAATAGCCCAAAAATGCCCACAAAGCGTTTCAATACAAAAGCATGTTCACTGATCTTGGTGCCGACACCCAGCATGTCTATTTCAGAACTAAAGGAACCAGAACATGATCAGTGAACCATGTGAGCCCCTAAATCCTCCTGCCAAAGAGAGAAGGGAATAGTTGTTTCATTTGAATTGTGAAGGCCCAGTTTGCGAGGTCTGTCATGCGACTCTGATTTCAACCTGATCATCTTGATCTGATGGCACTTGCAGCACCTTTCTAAGGCAGTGGCTGGCAAGTCAGCAGCCAAAAACTGCTCAAGCACATGCAGCTGATCCTGCGTCACCTGCATTCAGTGTGTTAAGGAAAATGGTCCAGCAGAACCATCCAGTAGACTGGATTCTTCACTCGAAACCCATAGAAACAGGCAGTAGTGGTATACCCCTAGTAGCATCCTTGTTCCTAGTAGCGATGCCTGGAGCCCCTAGTAGCGTCCTTGCTCCTAGTAGTACGGCCAGGAGCCCCTAGTAGCGTCCTTGTTCTAAAAGCAACAAGTACACTGAATTAACAAGACATGACCCAAGAAGTAAGCAGCACTTGCCAAGGAGTATGCTTCTGTGGAAGTGGCCTTCACACGTCCACGCAAGGCATCGGTCTTCCCAGAAGCCTCAGACAGCTCCTCCAAGCTTTGGATCTTCGGACTCGATTCGTCATTTCACTCGTTGCGATCAAGCTTTTCATGGATTCATGATGATTCATGGATCATGCATTAGAGTGATCAGTTTCATTCTTTCAGTTTGTCCATTCTTCGGGGCACACCTTGTCACCTCACTAAGAAAATAGTGCACAAAAAGCTAGTCATCGAGTCATCTAGTCCAGCTGCGACGTAATCTGTCATTTTTCGTAGCACAGAGAAGGCCCATGAGAAACGTTTCCCAAAGGGCCGCAGGTGGGCTTGTCAGGCATCTATGTACAGTACTCTGAGAACCCTGTTGCCGCAGCCTTCTATCATCTTCGCTCTTGCAAAAACTGAATATATTATCTTTTGCTTTTGTTGTCCACAAACCCTCTTTATTCAGGGTACTCAGCGAAGGGACCTCCGTCAAAGTTTCCAACCTCAATCTCAGAGTTGCACGAAATAGTGCGCAACTGTGTTTCTACATGGGGGTTCTTTGTCTTCCAGTGACCATGCATAAAACAATCACTTGAGGCAACGCGTGTTCTTCCTGAGTGCCGTGCAAACCCGGTCTTCACCTCTTTTTGCAGCTTCTTCCATGTCGGTCCAAAGCTGTTCCTAGACACAGCTTTGAATGGATCCACTCTCCCCACATTGGCCAAGACACTTCTAAGCGTTTAGCCGTTTAGCCTTTAGCCTTTAGCAGGATCTTATGTCTCGACCAAAATCGTCCTTCAATGCTGCAAAAAGCTGTCATCCCATGAATCACCCTCTTCATCAAGGACGCGTTACTCTGAGAAACGGACCAGCTGTAGCCTCATTTGGAAATTTTCCGTTTGAAGTTGCTGAATCCTTGGAGTGCATTTTGCGTGGGAACAACTCACAACAAGGAAATAATAGCACCATCGGGAGAAGCAGCAAAAGCACACAACTGAGCAACTTTTGACACCAAGGAACTTTGGATCATCCTTTGTGCCTTCGCCGGGTGTGCTCTTCTCCTCAAGTCAACATCCTCCTGTTAAGAGGCGCAGCTTACATTCAGCGAACTGTTTGCTCAATGTTGTTTGCTCGCTTCTGAAAGAGTTCATGTTGGATTCTTCCCTTCTTGGTTGCATCGGTCATCTCTCCATTTGGAACGGATAAGTGCTGACAGAGCTGCACTCTCAAACATGTTATCCAATGACTTCATTGTCATGCCTGCAAGCTCAAGCAGCAACAAACAAATGTCTAGTGTTTACAAAAATCGAGCTTTGTCGTTACAGCACCGAGTTACCACCTCCCAGGTCAGGCGCACTTGCTGCTGTAGCCTTCGGCTGGGCACGTGTTGTGATTTCTCCGTGGGCAAAAACAGATCGATCACAAACTCACCCGGGTGAAGGAGGGAAGGTTCTGTCCAAAGGACAAAGGGCAAAAGACATCCTGTTGTCCGATATACCTGAAGTGCTCGCAGGACCTTTGTGGGCAGCTTGTCTTGAGATTTTTTGAGAAGGACCAGTGTTGCGAATGCTACCTACCAGTTACCAGTGCTGCATTGCGAGCTTCTAGCAAAAGGAGCGGAGGAGGAGGATGTCTGACCAGCTATGACCCACAACAGGACCTTGACTACAGTTCTGACTTCAAACACCTCTTGTGACTTCCATTGACCTGCTCCCATGGCAAGAACAAAGGCACTGGTCAAACAAAGGTAAAGAAAAAGCGGCTTTAACTGCAAATCATGATGTGTGTACCTAACTGAAGTGCATCTTATTCAATAAGATGAATACATGGCTAAAGAAGAAAAGCATCAAGTGTCAATAGGTTACAAGGGTCCCGAAATGTATATATCACATCCTTTTGATGCGACGAGCCATTGCTTTAGTTTATATAAGAGTGTTTCATCAGTGCTGGATCAAGCACATGAGGCTGAATAGAAGACACACACAGACACAAGCAGAACATAGCGGACACAAGGAGAGCTTTCTGCACCTGTGAACGAATTTGAGACAGCAAAACTCTACCAGCTGTGCAAATTTTCTCCGGTTGGTCTGCTTGCTTTACTCATGCGGACCTCGTCTGTGACGAGTGATCGCAACATATCAATGCCCTGGAGGAGATGCTTTCGATCTGCAAATGCAGCACCTCCAAGCAATGTCACTGAAGAGTCCTTTTCCAACTCAATCACACGTCACACAACCGCAAAGCTGCACTCGCTCGCTCAGTCGCCTATGCTAACCACCACCACAAGAAAGGTCGCCGCCACAAGTGAAAAGACGCCCCCTCTTTGGTTTTGACTTCTCCAACGATCCTCCGTGCAGCAAAACTCTCCGAGTTGCACCCTCAGCGAACACAGCCAGCTCTGCGTTTCGGGGCAACCGTTTCGGGGCAACGACTCTTAGGCAAACAACCATACAACTTGAAGCGCGGACTGAGGCGTTTGACACGCACGGGACTGTCCTTCTCTTGAAGGCGACGGTGAAGCTCCTTGTTGGATTTGTTCCTGAATTCAATGAGTTCAGAAACCTACTGAACTCAGAAGCTACAAACAGCCAAACATGTCTGGAACCCGAACCCACCCTTTTGATATGTGATGCCCACAATATGGAGCCAATGGTTCGATGCCCACAATACGGAATTAAAAGTCGATCACTCAGCCCCACCATAGTGCAACACATACCAAGTTGCAACTCTTGCGCATAGCGTTGAGCTTTTCTGCGCTCGGAATCCGCAGCTTTCAAATGATCCATCAAGGCCATCGCTGTGTCGCGGGGCAAGTTATTCCTCACCACTGTTGGCATATCTCCAAACATTCTCAACAGCACCAAACTAGAATTGCCACACGACAAGTGATCAAACTTGAGAGAGGAGGGGGTGAACGAAAGGTAGCAGGCAATCACAAGCAACCCTGGTAAAAGTCCAGGATGGCGTGAACCGGCGCAGGGGGGATTTGATCCAGAGGGGGGGGGCCCCCCCCGACGAACAGAATCAACTCTTACAGGACCAAATTCAATGCACAATCCCAACTCCTGATTGTAATACATTTTTGCTAAAGCAAGGAGAACTCAGGTAGCTCAAGCTACCTTTCGTGATAATTCAAGAGAAGCATCAGAATTTCAAACTGCCACCTGAGCGGAGTGATGTCTCGAAGAAAATACCAAGTGCAATCTTGCTCAAGCTGTAATTCTCCACCCGCTCTGGCAAGCTTAGAATCACGAGATATGTTTGAAGCCAGAAGTATTTTCTTGCCCGGGGGGAAGGCCGCTAGGAGGTAGGTTAGCTAGAGGTAGGTAGCTAGTAGGGAGAGGTATCTAGTAGCTACAAGTAAGCTATTAGTATGGACGCAGGATAGCTCACGCTTCTATTGATTTGGCTTCTCACTCTGATTTGTCTGGATTATGTGCACAGCAAGAGTGTTTGGTTCTGAAATGCAAGGTTAGCAAGGTTTAACACTTGCAAGCATTGCCATTCAACTCCACGGCAGGCATCAATCTTCCCCTACAACAAATGCACTTTGGAACTCTGTCTCAGAGAAGCCACTCATAGCTGAAGGTTGCCTCCTGCTCAGCGCTGTTGTCCTTGGTTCGCCCAAGTGGTCACTTGCACGACCAAAATGACACACTGCAAGCCTCTGCCAAGCGATCTGTCCACAACATCTTGAGCCTTTGGACTCAGGTCAGTGCACAGCTTGACAGTGAAGTGCCTTTCACAACTGCTGTGACAAGACAGCTGCTCCTTTCTCAAAACTACTTTGAGATGTGTGCAGTTGAGAGCAAAGCAGCCAAAGCGCACAGCCAAAGTCCAAAGCGAGCGATCTTTACAATGCTCATGTCTTCTCTTCAACCATTTATATACTGCATCTTATTTAGGTGGTTCAATACATGCCGGAGGTTGACATGTTACACTGCAAATTGAGGTGAGTAAGTGCTGGACCTATCTCACCATTGGTTGTGCTTTCCCTGCGGCTTGAGAACAGGGAATAGGCTAGGAGAAATCTTGGCTGATAACCGTTCAGCACAGCAAACAAAAAGGTTTTAACCCACCATCGAATTGAACCAGTGAATATGTTCCATAAGCACCTTATCTGATTAGCTGAATTTCTGCAAA